GTTATCGATAAATCGCTCCTTCCTCGGGATAAACTTGATAAAAGATTTCTACGATAAACGAAACGACGTGGATCGATTGAAAACGAGATCGAAAATAAAGAATTTCCTCGAGGGAACGATATTTTATGTTTGAATCGTTGATTTCTTTTTTTTTTTTTTTTCTTTTTTTTAGATATTATTTGTGCTTCTTGTAATCGGATTATGCATTTCTTTTTATTCATTTTAACTTGAATTTTGACTCGAAGATTTGATATTTGAAGGTTGAAGGTTAAAGGTTGAACGTTGAATTGTTAAAGATGAACGAAATTGTTCGCTGCATTTTAGAATAATATTGTTATTCTGAATAATTATGATTTCTCTAATTCTGTAATTATTTGGAGGAGAATTTTCGCTTGGGGAATATTCATGAAGAATTGGAAATTTTATTTGGCATTATAATTTAATATATACAAAGTAATTACTTCATTCGGTAAAGAAACAAAGAATGAAAAAGGAAGGAAAACTATTATTAAATCGTGACTTAATAGACAGACTTTCGTTCGGTATGTTTAGTGACGTTAAAGTTAAATCCGTTGGTCGAATATTATGAAAGTTTGGGCAATGAAATCTCGAACGACTCTGACGTTTCACTTTCGGTTTCATTGTTGTCTATTAACAAGTTAGAAAATCTAATATTTTTGAAATTTTCAAACGATGAAAATAAAAATATTTATTCACATTTAATTCTCCTATTTTTACAAGTAATTCAATATTTTTCACCAAATATTCAATGTTCGTTTATAAATTTGACGTTTCAATATACCATAAATATTTCCTATTTATGATTTTTTTTGATTTTTCATAGAATTTGTAAATACGATTTGTACGGTTTCCGATACAAACCTGAACGAAATATTAGTACTCTGAATAGATTTCTCATGTACATCAACGTACTACGTTCATCGATGATAAAAAAAAAAAATGGAATATTAAAGCTCGACAAAAGGTGTCAATATTTTCATGTTTGATAAATAAGTTTCGATGTAAAATGTTCATACCACAAAGATGTTTAAAAAAAAAAAAATGATACGCGTATAACGAGAAACATGTTGTATGTATACCAATTTTTCAAATATGGAAAACAGCTACAGCTACACGAATTAAATAAATGTGAAATTCGCGATTTCAGTGTACACTTCGTCGTGCATTTCTATTGAAATTAAATTAACAATACGCCAAAATTCATACAATTGTTACATTGATTGCAAAAAACTTAACAACGATTTAATCTCGAAATTCAATTAAAAAAATCTTTGTCTCGATGAAAAATTCTCTCGAAAAACGAAATAAAAAAAAAATCCTTTCCAATTCAAAACAAAAATCACTTGAAAACCTACAACAAAACTATTCATTCCTCGCCTCAAACAATGCACGGACTATCTACGACAAATCCATCTCGATCTACGACCGACCATTAAACCTTTTAAATTCCCTTAAATTGCGCGAAAATTCGTATATGAATAAAAATAAAGAGTAGGGTGAAAAGAAAAAAAAAAACCTCTTTTTACCGCCGAGACGAACACGCGGACACCCAATCGCCGTAGGCAACATGCACCTACACGATATTTTCGCTATCACCGTATGACCTTGACAGATCTCGCAGAGTTCGGAGGAGGCCGACCGGTGGCGGAAGTGCGAATCGATCACCAGTTGCGCGCGTGCACGACGGAAGCGAGTACAATCCACACTCCACTCAAGGTGCGCTCCGCGTAAGAGCGTCCACCGTACTGAGCGGTCTGCCGCTCTTCGTCTTTCTTTGCCGCGGGCCGGCCGAGCGCGGCCGAAGATCGCCGAACGCGCAGCCGAGGGGCGGCGGGCCGATCGCCGCGAAGGCTGCGCACGCAGCCCGAGGGAGATCACAACGAGGCCGCGATCGTGCCTCGAAGACGCGTGGGCGTCCGGCTGCTTGTGGAAGCTGCAAAGAGGATGCGGGGGCTTCATCGAGGGTTGAATTGCAGGGGCGGATATCTCGATGGACGATTAAGGGCACTTGTAAAAGTTGTGAGATCGAAGTTTTTTTTTTTTTTTTTTTTTTTTTTAATTCAGATTCGTAATTTTCATGTCGCGAATTTTTTGTTTTAGAAAGTTTCATCCCGTAGTGGATGATTTCCATAGTGGGATTTATAACGAATATGTGAAATGAAATGAGTTTGAGATTTTCTTGAACATGATTGAAGAAAATATAAATATAAGGAAGATTGTTCTGTATTCTGTATTATTTGGATATTGAAATATACAAGAAGGATAAAATTTAAAATAATTTCACACTTTGATATATATCAAAGGAAGATTTTCTGTTGAAATTCTCTCGTTTTTATATACATCGTAATATTTTCGTAACACGATGCGTGAAAACGTTTTTTATTACCTTCTTCGCTATATTGAGTACTAAGGTATACGAGATGTTTTTTCCAAAGGATGACAAGGGTATTGCTGAAGGCGTCAGAATTGAATTTATCGAATAAAGAAATTCTCAGGAAAATGATTTATTTTCGAAAGCTATGTAAAAACATGCAATTTAAATTAGGAAATTCGAAACTACCTCATTATTTAGTCTCAGTTGAATTTAACTTTTGTTTTAATTTAAGTATTGAAAAACGAACATAACAATATACATATTTATAAAAATATTCAATTAATATTTGTATATATAAATTCCAAATACTCTTTCATTTCCATCATGAACATCTGTATCATAAATATCTCATACTTCTACCGACAACAAAAAAATTAATTTCATCAAATCTTTTCGATATACTTGAGAAAAAATACCAATACCTCCTCTGATTAAATCCAATAAAGCCAACATATCGAACCAGAACTCCTCGCCTCATATAAAAGGTTAAACTAACAAAAGCTATCCTTGAAACCATTCCTCGATAATTCCCTCATAAAACATTCTAGAATAAAGCAAAGAAGAAAGAGAGAGAAAAAAAGGAAAAAAAAAAAAATAAACGAGAATAAAAAAATTCGCTCTCCATCTTCCATCGAATTTCCATCGAATCACCGTTAATCCACTCGAAATCCCAAGCTCCAAAAACCAAAAGAGAGAGAGAGAGAGAGAGAGAGAAAGAAAAAATACACTGGAAAAAAAATCAAATCCTCCTCCTCAACCCCTTACGAACCTCCCCGAATTTCCGAAAATTCCGCGCGATTACTTTCACCGCGACCGCAACCGCGAAAAATCAGCCCGCGCCAGCCACCCCCCTCCTCTCCACCGACCAACTTTCTCCTCGCGAAACCACCTCGCACGGGCCTCCTCCCCGACGCGG